TGTTTATGGACGAAGGCGTCTCTGATCTGTGCCTCGATACGAACAAGGTGGTCTGTGGTGGATCTACTTTCTCGAAACCCGCACTGAAATGGGTCGAGCAAATGTTTGTTTCAAGGATATGTACAAGTCGGCAGTTTATCATTTTTTCGAAGACTTTGCACAAGCAGCTTGTAAGTGCAATAGGCCTATAACTTGAAGCTAAAGAAGGGTCCCTTGCCCTCTTTCAAAATGGGAACCTAAATGCACATAGTGGACTGTGGGGCGATTCTCGCTGTGATGCACGAGGTCGTCTCATTGAACAATTTCTCTTCTCTTCTGGTGCCTGTTTGTTGAATAGGAAAGAGCCAATACACTATAACGTTGCCAACAAAACTTACTCGTCTATCGACCTCAGCATCGTATCACCTTCACTCCTACCCTACTCAAATGGAAAATCATAATAATCTATATGGTAGTGACCATTTTCCTGTAGTGTTGAGTTCACAAACAACATATGAAGGTCCTCTACACGTTCCCAAATGGCTGATAAACAAAGCAGACTGGGAACAGTTCCATAACACTACATGTTTGAGTTGGACAGACATATGTAGGTTAAACATAGATGAAGACACAAGTGCTTTTGTGTGGGTTAAGTCGAAATCCGTTTTCATCTCACTATGTATGTATCCTCACTATGTATAACATGAAATGGGGGAAGTTTTCACTTGATCGGTTTAAAAAGCCTAAGTCTTCGGTGCGTACACGCTTAAGGCGGTACGATCACTTAATAAGGGAAATGCTCTATGCATGCCAGTTTGATTTTCTTCAGAAGCATTGGCAGCCACCCACCACGGAGCCCAACGAGGGGACGCTACAAGTTTGTGGATGCTAAAACCTGCAAACGCCAGCCGTACAACGCAACTATAACCCAATGCGCCTAGACCAAGGTAGGCTATTTGCACAGGGTTAACCCTAGCCGCCGGGAAGTTTGGAAGTAAACGGAAGAGAGTAGAAGACAGGACAGATAAATAGTAAGAGATAAAGACGAAGATGTAGGGAGAGAGAGATAGGAAAAGGCGACTGCCGATTTCCCTGGGTGGGTCAGCCCAGGGGTGCCGTCTACGTGAAGCCGGGGCCAAAGGGGTGTGTTGCCTCTGCCGGGGGGCCTTAACGGTCCAATCACCCAGCGTCGGCTCAACCCCCAGGATCCCCTTTTCCCCGGACACGGCAAAGCCACGCACGGCTAGGCGTGGGAGGGAGTAGAAACTCCCCCGTTAGCTCGGGTCCGTGGTGTCGCTACACACCAAACGCCTACTTGCGCAGGCGCCCCTGCGGGGATGAATGCCTAATAAAACATACATATTACACAGAATGCTTACTCTGTTAATGTTCTGAAAGCCTCCCACTGCAGTCCCAATTAACCTGAGAAAAACATTCCAGGGTGCTTTTAAATAGAGCTGTATTTAAGACAAAATATATCACTTTAACTGATCAGTTAATATGATATTTTCTGCTCTGTGAGTGGACAGTAAGCATACAGAGCTGTGGTGCGGTTGCAGGTGCGAATGTTGAATGAGAAATGGGGGGATGGACAAAAACAAGCACGTGCACCCTCGTAAAAAGGCAGCTGCAACGAGAAATCGCATGCTATACACTCGGTTCGGGATCTACTATAGGGGGCGCCTTGAAAGTCGCGCGCATAGAGTAACTGTATATGGTCCCTATGGGACCAGAGTAGCACAACTGTTTTCCAATGCCACCTGCGCTGCCAGCAACCATGCATGATGTTCAGGCCAATTGTGTTTTCCACCACCGCTGCTGCATTGGCGCGAATCATCGCCAGTCAAGTTCAAAGCGAACCCGGCTGGTCTTCGCGCCTTTTCTAAACATGGTTCATGGATGCATGCGGGTGACTGCGGATAAGCTCTATCTACGCACCAGGTCTACAGTTCTACCATCACAGCCATCGGAATGTTACAATCACAGGGTAAACTGGTAAAAGACGTTTTACTAGTTTTACCAGCTGCTGAGTGCTCCTTCGTCTGTAGTGTACATGCTAAAAGAGAACTGCACTGTTCTTTGTTGTGCATTCATATCTGTTCGAATGGAGCCTGATTATCCACCTTCATGCAAAGGAAATATATTTTTTCGCCAGTGAAGTAGCTAAAAAGGTGCAATGTTTAATTCGCTGCATTTTACAGCGAAAACTCTTATGAAATCACAAGAACCAATTCTGGTGCCATAGATGTTCGCCACCGCCAGTGTCCGTGACCCCTGTCGCACAAAATTTAAAAAAAAGAGAGAGAAAAACCTCCATAAAAAAGGAAGAAAACTTTCATGGTGCACTTGGGAATCGAACCCGAATCTTTTGAGTGGCAGTAGACTACTCTACCGGGTAGCTACGCCAAAACTTGTAGCTGAACTCAAAAGTGACTTTATGTAGACTGCATATTGGGCAAGAATTTGTGGTTACATGTGTAATAAATCGTTTTAGAACAGTGAAGTAACAGATGTGCGTCACACAACACAAATTGTGCAGAGAGTGCGCCGTTATGCTCTTACGCACTTCAAAAGCCTCAGGCGTCGCTCATCGCACGGTGTAGTTACGAGCGCCCGAAAAATGGCACTGTTTCCCCTGCTTAACAACCGCGGTTCCTGGGGCCCCTTGGACTAGGTGAGGCGCTCCTTGGACGATGATTTCGGTGGCTCCTTCCTGGACGGCGTGCTTTACGACCCGCCGTTCTACCACCAGCGCTTCTACATCCAGCCGCGACAGGCGTCGAAGGTCACCTCTGCCCCGCCTGCCAGAAAGGCACTTCTGTTGCCTGCACGCCGTCAAGTTCGCCATTAACGTCGACACTCTTCACTTCGACCCCAAAGAGATCACTGTTTAGACGCAGGACAACTGTGTCGTCATTCACTGAAAGCACGAGAAGAAGTCGGACGAACGTGGCTGCTACATGAAGCGAGAGTTCACCTGACGCTACGTCGTGCCGGAGGATGTCAACCTGGAGTCTGTCAGGTGCCATCTCGAGCCCAACGGACTACTGGCCTTCGAAGCTACGCGCAAGAACGCCCTCAAGGAATGGCCGAAGGCCATCCCCATTGAATTGAAGCACGAAGGCGGCAGCGGCAATGTCGCTAAGAAGTGAGCTCACATGGCCTGTAGCCTGCCCTAGTCACTTATCGTAGTGCACTAACTTTCGACGCCTTTTTTTTTCCTCATGAAGTGGTTCTCCACTGAACTTGTGAGCCTTCAATTGTTCTTTTCCTACTTGTTCAGAGGGCTGTTGTAAATTTTTGAGTCATTGAGTTATATTCACCGAGACTAATCAGGTGATTTCATGTACCGTCGCATTTCATCAGCGTAACGTGAATACTGAATGCTCCCGCTCATTATGCAGTCGAAAATTCTGAAAATGCACGAAATGTGAATGTTGCATGACAAAAGAACTTGATAACGTTCGCTCTGCACTTTTCGCCACATGCTCAGCAAGAACATAGCCTTTTTTTTTACCACTATTTAGTCAGCTCTTTGTTGGCAATCGGGCACAAATACGGCCTCCAAGCACTGGTCGGCTTGTGCACATGCAAGGGAAAACCACGGCCAGACTGGAACAAATGCTTGACTAGCAGCACTGCGATGACTCTATTTTTTTTCCTTTTTTTTGGAAAGATACATCCATTTTTCTTATCCTGATGCCAGGTAATTGTGCACGGTCGCAATATTGCAATATGGGTGCACAAAAAAGTGAGAGTTCTACCATTGAGGTGTCCCGAAGCATCGCTTGTCAGCTCCTTTACGGTGCATTCTAGAACAAGAGGCTCGAACTTATCTAACGTAAAATGCTCCTGGAAATGCATTCATTAAGTTACTCAGCTGCATTCAATTGTATGTGCATATGCACAAATATCTGTAACAATGGGCATGCACTAGACGCGTGTTCGACGCGCTCTTGGCATTTCAACGGAAACCCACAAATAAGCTCGCCTCGCACAGCCGCGTAGACGAAGTTGAACGAAGGCCTTCGCGCGAAATGTTTCATAGCTACACTTCACACTGTGCACCGTTTCGGATAACATGAGGTGTTGAAAAGAGCGAAACTGTTTTCTTTTTAATTCACTGCAATCCAGCATTATTGAAAAAGTTGGATGTTGCATTGAACAAGCACGGCGAAGCAATCTTGGCTGACTTGGAATCAAATAGAACATTCTTCCCAGGCAGTTTGTCTTCGCTACTATATATTTACTCTTTTTTTCACGGCATGAATTTGCCCAGAGCTATACGCGCATGCGTACTGGTTTTAAACCTTTGCATAACAATAAATAACACCACCAGCCACTTACAACGTCACATGCGAAGCATGCATCAATGGCAGACGCGAATTACAGAGAAAAGGAGGAGTAAGCGAGAGAGTGAGGAGGACGGTGTCGAGAACAATGAGTGTAGCTACCTTGAAAACTTTTTATCTAGTGACCATAAGTCTTAGCAGACAGCAGCGCCTCATTGCTTTGACAGCTATGGTGGCGCAAGTCCCTGTGGTCGGCAATCAAGTGCTTCGAGCAGGATTTAAAGATATCGTAGGGAGACATTCTCCTGCAATGCCACCATGAATATTTGCAAAACCTGCCCGAAAGTGGCCCCATTTTCCATGTTAGTGAGCACCATGCTGCCAGTCATCGGTACTGACGGCTAAATGCGTGTGCCAGGTAGGCGTAATGCAAGATGCTTACTTTGTAACTGTCGCGGTAAGCTGTCATTTTCTTACACTTTAAATATTATTAGTGCATGACTACTACCCATGTACTTGCACAAAACAAGCAAGCTTTTATAATCAGTGCACTAGGAAAAATTGATGGCTCCACTTCCACTGGCCGTGAAAATCATGGTGAGTGGCCGAGCGGTGTGCTCATTTGTTGCGGCTTTATGCTACGGCAATTTTCACCCATAGAGTTTCGCAAAGTGCTTTGCTTGAATTTGTCGCGGCATCATCATCGCTCATCGTGATGGTGGTCTTTACCTCGCCGCTCGTGCAGCTCACCACTAAGAGCTTGAGGCGCAGGCGAGAAAGAGAACGCGCAACGATTTCGGCCAGAGAGAACGCTGCAGCCCCTTTTTGTCTTTCACTTCAACTTGTAAAGTGGCGACGATGACGGGGCGGCAAGCAACAATGGTGTGCGAGCTTTCTTTACGTGGGCCCTCCTAGCTCACTTCATTGGAGGAACCATCCGTCATCAGGTGAGTCAAATGTGGTCATGTGACCCTGCAAAAATCAAGTTGAGGGTAGGCATTTGTTTTCCCGTGTATTTTGAATTTTTCTAAACCGATTAACTTACAACTGTGTGCTGTTATCACTGCTGTTCTTGTTGCGTTAGTGCTTCTGTACATCAGTCTACTCAACCCACCAATAAAAAATGGGGTGCTGAACAGTGTTGGGGGGGCTGTTTCAAACTACACCTTTATGGCAATCAGTGAACCTGTTAGTGTGTTTTGTGCAACAACTGTCAGTCTGTTTCTTGTCAATCACTCACTCATACTGTTCCTGCACAGCAGCACAAATCTTAATTAGCTTAATATTGGAAGCCATGAAAACAATGCTAATGCCTTATCTACCTCACACATTCTTTAGCCTGTGAGATACGCAATGATAGTGAGGAATATTTATGACATGATTTTTCCAATGTTTTTCTGCAACCATGTTCGGACTTAACATAATGGACTACTTAAACATTCAGCTACAGTGGTCATTGCAAAAGAATTACCTACACCTGAAAGGTGCATAACATGTGCATTATAGCTGGCACTCCTTTTTATGCTCACATGGTGAGGGATGACTTGGTAAGGGATGACTTAAGGAATGGCAAATAATGGCCAACTGGAAATAATTTGCGAAAGGAAGTTTTTTTTTTTTTTAGTTCCACTAGGGAAGTCGTGTTTGCAGCTAATTTTCTACTATCAGACTATCAGTTGGGAAACAATTTGCTAAGCGGAAAATCCTCCCTCAGCAGAACCTGCTGAAGTTGACAAAAAGAATTTGATGCATTTACAGTTTAAAAGATTCGCTTAGACTGTTGGTCACACTGTACTTAAGGCACATCTTAAAACCATGCTCTATAGCGTCCTGCATGCCTGTGTTGCAAAAGGTATCACTGAGGAGAAAAAAGAAATACAATTTATTCGAACATAAATGTGCCCCCGGTCAACACGGCGTAGAAAATCTTAATGTAAACACCCAACTTAAGTTTAGCTATACTGTGCAGAAAACATCGCGGTTAATTAACTGAGTTAGGGATCGAGCTTTTTTTTTGTTTTTAACGTACCATCGTCTACCACAATCAGACCGCCTTGAACTCTGATAGCTTGCTCTCACCTTCTATGACACCGCTAGTTAGGCTAAATTATCTTTCATGTATGGAACACCACACCTACCCGATTGATAGGTGAGCACCGGCAACTTCTCGTGCTTCCTTTCTTTTCCGCTGTTGTGCGCCTTTACAGTTGTTATTCAACGTTTGCTGTTCTTGTGCCCGTTGTTCGCACGGTTTTAGATGCGGAAGCATCTTATACTCGCGCCTTGTAGTGCGCCATCCGCGCCGTCCGCACCGCTTCTCGAACATTCGACAGCTGACACGCGCGCATGCGCCGTCGCGCCGTCGCCCACCATCTGTGCCGCGCGCGCTACAGCCCGGCGTTCAACAACGCGCCAACGGCGAGCACTGCGTTGCTACCGTCTGTGGCGTCGACGTCATGACGATGTACCTCGCGCCAAACCTCTCTCGTGCCGCCGTAGAAAAGTACGTCGACGAGGCCGTGCAAGATTACAGAAAACAACAACCGCAACATCGACCGTTCATGCTAGTTGGCGACTTCAACGTCGACGTCATCAAGGACGATTGGATAGTCGAATACATGGCGTCGCGACACTCGCTGAAACGCGCAACGCACGACGACTGCAAACACCACCAGCCGACCACCATTCGCGGAACCTGCATCGACCACGTCTTTGCAAATTTCGACCTACGACCGATGCAACCCGATCCACTCACTCTTTACTTTACCGACCACAAAGCCATCGTCCTCAAAGTTCGTCGCAATAAATAAAACACCGCCCTTTCGCATACGTGCCGTACGTGTTCACTCATTTAACACCCCATTTCACAACCACGTTAACCAATTTAGCCATCGACCCAAGTAAGTCGCAATTTAACACCCGTTAACCAATTACATGCTTCCGCATCCTCCTCAGTGTTCCCCCGAGGGAAGCTGCGGGCAATTTTTTTTTTTTTTTCACAATGAATACTTACCAGCTCATTCATTCCTCTGTTGCTTTGGATCAGTTCTTTGAAAGCGGCCGTAAAGTACAGTTGGAGAGGGGGTCAAAAGTTTTCACGCCACGCTGACATGGAGCAGAGGTCTGGGAACTTACTACGTCTCTGGCATTTGACTACTTGACATTTGGTCACAGCACTTACCCATAGCCTCCTCTATAAAGTTATATAGGAGGCTATGACTTACCACGTCCCCGAATGACCTCTTTGCGAATTCGTCCGACGACGCAAGCAAGTCTCTGGAACGTCAGAGGCATGTTTTTTGCGAGTCACACGCCCGAGATAATTTCTTAAAATTAAAATGAAAGTGGCGCGTCCGCATACACACACAAACACCGTCGCACGCAACACAGATTTCGTTAGTTTCGTGGCTAGTGGCAAGCCATTGGCAGTCTGTTGACGACGACGTGAGTGCAGTTTCGGTTTCGTATTCAAGAGACTCGTGAGTCGCAGCCGAAAGGGTTTTCAACCTTCCAGTTGCATTCCACTTAGTTTTGGCTAGTTCGTTCTGCATATTGACGAAGTAGACGCGCTTTCAAGACGCGGACGAAGAAGAGACACGACGCACACAGCGCTAGTCTTTAAGCTTGTTTTGCGCGCTTTACAGATGAGCACGCGTCTTTCATGTCAATGAACCTAAATATCCTAACACACCATTTCGCACGTTCCCAAGTCAATTTCGGCGTCGACTATGATCCGTGCTGATTGATTACGGTTATATGACGGCGGACTGATCAAATATCGGGGTGCGAGATGACCGCGGTGGAACCGTTCGCATTATCGCTGTTATCTTTGCCACTCGGTAAGGCATCACCGTTTTCCACAAGGAAGTGGAATGTTACACCTTACGCCCTTTTGGCTAGGTAGAAACACAGAAAAACCGGAGGAAGGACTTTCCTTCCCCCGTGGGTAGAAATATCTCCCCGAGCGCAGGATGGATGGATGGATGTGGCTGTACCCATAGAGTTTCCCAAAATTGACTAGAGGGCACTCTGGCACTGCGATCGTTCAACGACCATGGGAATGATGGGTAATACCAACGCTTCCTCTAGAAAGATGACGGCCGCATGAGCAGAAAAACAGCTGCCACACCACGGAGGAAGACCTTTCCTTCCTCCGTGTGCCACACCTTTTCCCTCTTTCATTTTAAAATGAATGGATAGATGTGACTGTACCCTTTAGATCGGGCGGCGGCTAACGCTACCTAGCCGTAATACTTAGTGAACTAACCATTACATTTATCTTTTTTTTTTCCTTTAAATAATGAAGTTGAGGATTCGTACTTAGCAGTGAAGGGTTTAATTTTCTCTCGTGCCTTGACATCAGCCACCAATCAGATAACCTCCTTCTAGTTAAGTCTACCCGCTTAAAGTCTATTTTGCCCTCGCTGTCCCTAAATCCCAGTGCTTTGAAAAACTCTGCGCCATCATCCTGAACTATAGGTTGAAGCCCTTTACAGAACATTATCAAGTGTTCGGCAGTTTCTTCTTCCTCTCCACACGCACTGCATACTGTGTCTACCCCTTCTATGTTCTTGGTCGCTAGCGTCACCTGTGGCGGACGGTGCAACAACGCAACACTTTGCATAGTCTCCGAAACAGTGATGCACAATTGCAGGTCTCAAACAACTCTCGACTGACGCGCCCCTATCGACCGTAAATGAAAAACGCTTAGCTGCTACAACGCCTCCTCTAGGAAAATGCCTGCCGCATGGGAAAAAAAAAACAGCTACCATACCTTTTTCCTCCTTCACTTTGAAAATGTTCTCGGTCGCTAGCGTCAGCTGTGGCGGACGGTGCAACAACGCACCACTTTGCATAGCCTCCGAAACAGTGGTGCACAACTGCAGGTCTCAAACAATTCTCGACTGACGCGCCCCTATGGGCCGCAGATGAAAAACGCTAAGTTGGTACCGCTCGTCACCGTGATAATTGGGTCGCGAGCGCCACCGCGCGGAGCTTGTTTAAAACTGAAGGCAGGCCAACTCCGCTGGGAGCACGAGCAATTCCTCAGGAATCTTTCTAGAGGAGGCGTTGGCTGTTATCACCCGTCGCCGCAACGCCTCCTCTAGAAGATGCCTGCCGCATGAGAGAAAAACGGCTGCCACACCCTTTCCCTCCATTATTTTAGAATGTTTTCGGTCGCTAGCGTCACCTGTGGCGGACGGTGCAACAACGCAACACTTTGCATAGCCTCCGAATTTGCGGTGTGCAGTTGTAGGTCTCGAACAACTCTCGACTGACGCGCCCCTATTGGCCGCAGATGAAAAACGCTTAGCTGGTACCACCAACACCACCTAGACTATTCACAAGGCCCGTTCATACCCCTCTCTCCAGACGGCATACGTCACGCTAGTTGTCCGATGTTATGACCGGCACAGCAAGGAGGTGGCTTGCAAGGGACGCTCATCGGCGTAACGGTCAAACGCTGTCCGCGTCCTGCAGGAACGCGGGAGGCGTCTGTGTGCGCCGCAGGAAATGCACATCAGCGTCGCTGGGACACACAGTCAGCGTCTAGCACGTGCACGGACGGCTATAAAAGGAGCGTGTCGGGAGTGCGCTGTGCTCTCTCTCTGGGCTTCGCTGGCCCGCTCGTCTCGAGTGCACTCTGGGCCCTTGTGATGGAAAGGCGCGTCTGTACACTCTCGTTGCAATGTACTTCTCTTGCAAATATGTAAATTAAACGCATCTTCTACTTGTTCGTGAGACACGTCGCAAGAGTCGTCCTTCGCCGGATCCTGGGTGGCAGCCTCAACCCCTCCTCGGGCATATCACCGACTGTCCAGTGGCCGAGGACGCGTCGCTCAGGTGGTGGTGTTCGTCACCCCGCGCACTTTTTTACCCCGAACGGTGGACAAGCCACGACAGGTTTGCCTTTCATCGCTACCTGCTTCGCTGGTTAGACTGCGTTAGGCTTGGTGCTGCATCGCACTGCTCCGAGTCTTCGTTCGTTCCCACGTGTCCTATTTTATTGGTGTTGTATTTGTGAGTATGTGATTACACATCGATCAGTGCGACATGGGACATTGTTGTGTTCCCGGGTGCCGCGGCAATTATGACAGTGGTCCCAAAGTGCGTGTCTTCGCATTCCCCAAGGATGAAGCTCGGAAGAAGTCTTGGATAAAAGCCATTCCGCGAAAGGATTTCACGACAAGCATACACTCTAAGGTGAGAAACTGCTGAAGTTTGTTGTCTTACCGGCTCTATCGCATTACTGGCGTTCTGGCTCTGTTACTGTTGAACGGAGCGAGTATCGTGAGTGGTGATGGTAGTTTTGTCGCGCTTCAGGTAGGGCAGTGCGGTAAAATAGAACAGAAATACTCAGGCTCGTGTCAAAGTTCCCATTAGCCCGTTTCGTATGAAAGTAATGAAGTCACTGTTATGCTTGGCGCAGGTCTGTGAACTCCACTTCCTCGAGGCTGACTTCATCACAAAGCTGTCACATTTCGACGCAGCGTCGGGACGGACATTGACAGTCGACAGCGAGAGGGTGCGCCTAGTGTCAGATGCTATACCATCGGTGTTTCCGAACTGTCCGTCCTACCTGAGCACGAATCGCAATCGTCGAGAATCTTCTGTCTCGAAACGAGCTCGAATGGAAGATGAGGCCTTGAGCAAAGCGATTAAGGACTCTATATGCGCAAAAAAAAAGCGAAGAGGAAAGAAATGCTGTGTCCTCTTTCGAACACTTAAGAGGCAAGCTTTCTGCTGTATGCAGTAATGATTTCTGGACCATCAAGGCCAACGATCGTTGTGTGATGTTTCTCCGCACCGAAGATAATACTTCACCGCACGTGAGGTTTTTCATTCACTGTGCTTGCTGATCTCTCACTTGCAGTCTCAGCAGGTATGATCAAGCTGGTTTCATTACCTTGCGGAGGCGCAGTTCCAGACGCAGTGCGCGACATCCGGACGTTGTCCTCACTGCTCCAGCAGCTGGAAAACCACATGACTGAGACGCCTGAAGTTGCAAGTCCGTCGAAAACAGCGTCAGTGTTGCAGCATATCGGCTCCTTATTGAATGAACTGTCCCAAGACAGTGACACGACCGAAGAACACAGTGCTTTGTTTCGTTTGCTAAATGAGCAAATAGCTCTCGCACTCGCTGCCCCCATTTGTCGCTACAGTGCTAAAACATTAGTGTTTTCTAGCATCCTGCACTCCATATCTCCGCACGCCTATAACTTTGCCAGATCAGCGTCGACGTTGACTTTACCCCATCCTTCAACCTTGCACCGCGTTTGTTCCAAGT